GGGGGGGGAGGGAGAGAGAGAGAAGAGGAAGAGGAAGGGAGAGCGGGAGGGATTCTGAGAAAAAGACAACGATGGGGAGTGATTTTGCCGTATGTCGTTTCTTGGGGGCAGAGAGATTGACCGTTGTCAGGGCGATATGGCGCTGGATCTTGAAAGCTGGTTCTGGCAGCAAGACGATAGAAGGTGTGAAGAAGGTCCTTACGCGGCGTGTCGATGGGACGGGAACAGGAGCGGGAAGTTGCAGCGCGGGGGGTAGGAAAGAAACAGACAGACGGGACAGACGGGACTGAGATGGGAGGTGGGAAATCGGGAAATTGGGAGGGGCAGCGCAGAGCATAAACGGGGGAAATCGGGGGATTGGAGAGAATGGTCTGAGGGGGAAGAGAGAGAAGAGACCTGCCGTGAAGCAGGTTGGGCCTGTTTTTGCCTACACCTGTTTTTTTCGGATATTGAAAGGGGCTGCCTCGAACGGGCCCCTAATCCTAGCTCGAAAATCTCTACCCAGCCTTCGAGAACCCCCTGTCCTTTTTCATTTGCAACTTCCCCTAGTCCCCTAGAAAACCAGCTGGACGGAAAACCTTTTATCCTTACTTCCCGCCTTAAAGATAGCAGTGCCAAACCCACTCCTCGATTGTCTGAGGAGTGGGTTAGAATCCAGTGGAGATGACATTTTATCACTGTTTTCTTCATTTGAGTTGGTCCAAAAGACCAGAAATCCTTCGTCGTCTGGATCCTGATGGGCTTCTCCTCCCAAATCGTAAGTTGGTTCTTGGTGGTGGCTGCGCAGTTCACTCTTGGTGGTTGGGCTGAGCATTTAATTGAGCATCCTAGGAAATTTCATTTACCACCGGCGTCATCTGTCCGAACTAAAGTCAAGTTAGGGTCATAGGAGTCCTGGAATTTCGTCAGTAGTTTACCGGCCTTCTTCGGTGTAGTTCGATCTCTCTTTGGAAAAAGCAGAAAGATACTTATGTCATCAATTAATCTAATGCCATGAAAAAACCTTTCATCGGTCCCAATAGACCTAAGAAACATACACTCGTTGTAAGAACAGCGCAGGCAGGCTAATGCAGGGCTAGAACTCTTGCCCATGGGAATACCGTCTACCTACCGGATCAGTTTCCCCGCGACCTTTGAGTAAGTGTTCTCGAGGTCGTACTTTACAAATTCCTCAATTTGAGAAAATTTTAATGTCACCCATCCTGTCTCTCCAAAGCCATTTGAAAAACATGCTTCCTTCCCGCGTCTATTCACACGTACACTCCTCTTCCCTTGACCTCTAAATTTGTCACATACCCACTCGACAGCCTTTATAATAGATATATGCGGTAGTTTAGTGAACATCTCCTTCACGTCGAAACTAGCCCCAACCAGGCATCCCCTACCCATCCCGGCTGCTTTTTTATCAATAGTTTGAATTTTGTTCTTCAGCAATGAGGTAGATTTCAGATTGAAGTGAGACTTAGCGGGCAGATTCCACAAAAGATAGTTGATAGCCTTAGAAACCATCTTACAGGCCTTCACACTGGGGTCAACGAAAAACGGGGCGATTGGGCGTCATCTCGTGGTGTCTTTGTGCTTAGGAATACCGTAATAATAACCAATAGTGCCTTTGTTATCCCAAGGGGCAATCTTGTTGGCTTCAATAGCCAATAACTTCTCCTTGCATGTCGTCAGTACCTCTTCAATACTTAGATCAACGATCTCAAACCCGGGATTTTCCAAGTACAGTTGGGCCAAAGCCTTTTTGTACAGGCTACGACAACACACAAAGGAGTCACCAATATTGTGGTCTATGGGACAGACGAAAAACGTTTCCAGTTTATGCTTCCATTCCTCCATACATCCTGCTCTAGAGTCCGAGCAGACTAAACTGTTCTTGAGGCACTGGCTCAGCTCCCGTCTTGAAATATGTGCCTTTCCGGGACAGTTAATCAGGCTATCTTCTAGAATACGTTTAAGGTGCGTTAAAGAGATAGACCTATTAGGTGGCAGACTATTCCTGGAGTTACTCAGGAAGTTAGGAATTTCATAACAGTCTGAGAAGCGGAAAGAAACATGTCCTTGGCTGTCCCTTGTCAAGTCTGTACATTCGTTCCTGCAGTTGCACTCTAAGTGATCATCTCTGGCTGTTTTACGATGGTTATGGAGTTGTTCTCCAATGGTCTTTCTCCCCTTCCAAAAACAAACCTCAGTCTTGAAATCATAAATTCAACAACGCACACTAGATTGTATCGCCGCCTGATTAGCTTCTTAGCGAGGCAGGTTATATTCCGCTTGTCGATGTGTTCAGAGAAAACACTCTTGATAACAATAGCCGACATACATTTAAAACCGCACTTCTTCTTCAGAACCCTGCTCACAATGCCCTTGAGAACGGCTCGACTCTTGCCGTTAAAAGATTCAGCACAGTTGTAGAGCTTAATCAGAGCATCTATTTGGAAATTATATAGTAACTTTCGAGATGCAGGAATCTGCAAAAGAGAGATAAACACATATTTCCTCTGCCTAGTTNGCTTAATCAGAGCATCTATTTGGAAATTATATAGTAACTTTCGAGATGCAGGAATCTGCAAAAGAGAGATAAACACATATTTCCTCTGCCTAGTTAGATTCGTCTGCAATCTGATATGAAAAAAAGTAAACGTCCCTCCTCTCATAAATTCGTCTTTAAAATTTTTCAAAAAGGTCTTGCTCTCCCCGAACTCTACGATAGACCAACCAAATAGTTTTTTTAAGCGGCCCCACCCATCGAAAAAATATTGGCCGCCCGTCGTCCTAACAGTGGCCGAGAACTTGTTCGAGGCAACAGCCTCCCTCAGAGCAGAGACCAGAGAAAAAATAGAGGTAGTGTTTTTCTCAAAAATAACACTCCCTACGGCTATTTCCCATGAGATAAGGCAGCCATTCATGGCGCTGAGATGGTTTCTCTTTGCGAAAGATCTTCGTTCCCTCTTACCTTTCCTTCTGCAACATCTTCGTTTCCCTTTTACCGTGTTCAAAGTGGGTGCCCATCTGCCGATGCAGGCTACTTCGACCTGTCTCAATTCACTCACAGAAGCCGATATCAAAGGAACAACCACATACTTCTCCCAACGTTTCGATGCTAACCATCTTCTAAGTTTGTGGTTTCTTCTAGAGGACAGGTTGTTAACAGATGCCATGTGCTCCTCCCATCTCTCTGTTATTCCCCTAGTTGTGGAACCAATATACGCAGCTTTAAACCAAGGAGAAATTAGGATATAGACATAGCAGCCTTTCCCTTTACAAATATCATAGTTACTATGGACAGACTCCAACCATTGATCAAGATACTTTTCACCCCATGCAATCTGACCCAATAGTATCAGAAGCAGTACATACAGCCTCAGGTGTTGTTCTAATGCATGCTCCTCCCTCCCTTTCACCACTTCCGTTCTTCTCAACTTACAGAGATCATTAACCTGCTGTCATAACCAGGATGGATCCCGGTAAGACTCAAGAGGGATTCTCCTCTTGAGTTTCCTCCTCGGTAACCTCTACCTCCTCCTCCTCCTCTTCTTCACCATATGCGTCCCTTACCTTGATCGCTGTCAGATCCGCAACAGCTTGCTTCTTGTTATGATACTTGATTTTGTCCTTGTTGCAGAGTTCAACGAGTTCCTGTTTATACTTTTGCATGAGTTCCCTTTCCATATCCCGTTGGTACTGCCGCCGTCCTCCAGGCCCAGGATTCGCTACCACGGCTTTGGTCCCTTCTCTGGCGCGATTAAATCCCAGGACAGACGGGGTGGCACTTCTGACTGCTGAGAAAGAGCCCGACATTCGCTTGGCAGTTCCTGCTACAGATGCGAAGACGTCTGCAAGCCGTCCAGAGACTCTGCCGCCTGCAGGTGTCTGAGAAGGCCCTGGGATGTCTTCTGCCTGGGTTCCACGAGGTCCCATGCTCCTGGTGACTGGTCGGTTAGTGGTCCCATTCTGTCGATCGAGAGTCGGATCTCGGTAAGCTCGCCTAGAGGAAGGGGTTGGGCCTGCAGGCGGAGGAGGGGGGGGAAAAGAAGGGGGAGGGGGAGGGGGAGGAGGAGGTGCAATAGGGGATGGAGGGGGTGACAGTTGGGTGGCGGCTCGTGAGGGAGGGGGAGGAGGAGGAGTAGCCAACGGAGGCTGGGCGGGCGGAGGATGTTGAGGGAGCTGGCCAGGGGCGGAGGGAGCAGGCTGAGTGGGAGGGGGCGCAACAGGAGGGATGATTCTGATTGGTGGGGGTTGGAAGTTTTGTTGGGGTTGAGGAGGAGGAATAGCAGTGGCAGCAGCGGGGCCTTGCATCGAGGGAGGTTGGAAGGTTGGTTGGAACTGAGGGGGAGGCACGGTAGCGACAGCGGCAGCAGGTGGGATCCGCATAGGAGGGGGCGCAGAGGAACTTGCTCGCTGCACAACATCCAACTTCTCAATAAGCCCAATCATGCGCTCGAACATAGCGTTCTGCTGAGACTGCTGCTGTTCCATGAGCTTCTTTTGCTGTGCTTGCGATCGCTGCGCGTTGTCCAGGTTCATCAGTAGAAGCCCGACATCGAGAGCGTTAACTTCTTGAACGCGTTGCCTCGGAGTCGGAGGCTGACTTGGGGCAGCACCTGCCATCTCTTCTTGTCCTTGTTTCTTGTTGTCGCCGTTAGTAGCCGCCTTGTCTTCTTGGGTAGCCGCCTCATCCGTACCCTTCCCCTTCTCAATCTTCTCCCAGATTTTTTTGTTCTCCTCCTCCCTCCTCTTCTCCATCTCCTTCATTCGTTCGTCCAACATCTTTGCTAACCTTGCTTCTTTCTCAGCTTCCTTCTTCGATTCCTCCTCTTTCCTTTTCTCCTCGGCTTCCTTAACAGCTCTCTCCTGTTCTTCTCTAACCCTTCGTTCGTTTTCCTGCCTCCTCAACTCTCTCATTTCCTGATTGTCGTAGGCAATCTCACGAATCAAGGCGACCATCTCACCCTCATATGATCTAGAGCCCCGATTCCAAGAGTTCCAAGCGGGCGGGCCAGAATTCTGGACAATCTGGCGAGGTTGATATGGGACAATGGCATTGGAACAGGAAGCGATCGAGTCTGCCGAAGTTGCGTAAGTGGTGATAGGCGGCGCAAAAGGCTGCGAAGAGGTAGTAGCAGGTGGTGGGAACGTCGGCAAAGGAGGAGCAGAGGGAGCATAAGGATTAGGATTAGGGGCAGCAAGGTGGGGTGGGTTGAGCAGCGGTTGTGAACAGGCAGCAGTGGCACCGTAAGCTGGCCCCGTGATCGGTCTACCGGACACCAGACCATCATCCCTGCGTGGGTAAGGGCAGTTGCATGCCCAATGCCCCTGTTGCTTACAGTTAAAACACGCTCCATAGGGCGTGTAGTTGTCCCCCATCTTCTACAAACGATGGTCGATCGTCTCTAAAAAAGTGTGCGTGCAACGTGCCGGGAACGAGTGTCAAAACGTTGTGACTCAGATCATCAGCGCCTGACGTGGATTATCGGAGCAATGTGAATCTACCGGACAGTAGGGAAAAGTAAGGGGTGATCGAGCGAAAGCGTGCCAGCTAAACTCTTCAGAGCTTGGAGTCTTGAGTCTTGGAGTCTTGAGTCTTGAGTCTTGAAATCTTCAAATCTTCGGAGGAACGAATCCACCACCCCGTGAACTTCACGGTGGTTAACGCGTTACGAACGGTCGATGTGAGAAGGTAGCAAAAGCATACCAAGCTAGGGAAAAAAAACCCGCGAACGACCTTGATCCAGACTCTTA